AAGCTTTTTAAATATTTTTGAATTAAGGATGAATTTTGATAATACACAAAATGCAAGTAAAAAAAAAAAAGAAAGAGCAGGCTAATTAAGATCAAGATCTGAAGGCAAGAAAAAGAGTCTGACCATACCGTGTCCTACTATTGGCTCTGTGTTATAGAGCCGTCCTGACAGCAGGGGGAGCTCTTTGATCCAGGTTTCAAGTTCAAGTCAGGGTCACTACCCAACCCCAAGCAGGGGACCGGAGACCACTCGGCTTCCCTGTGGCTTACCAGATGCCGGCAGACTTGCAGTGACATCAGCAAAGGACCCCACTCTCCGGCAGTCGGCACGGATCCTCCCGTTTGTCTCTGCAGAACCCGCAGGGTGTCGAAAGCTGCTACGTTTCAAACAGAAAGCAGTGGGCTCTGTGGTTGCTCAGGAGCATAGTTTCAACCTTCTGACCTTCAGCGTCGCCCCATGTTCATCACAGATTATTTAGTTTATGTGATCAGACAAGACTATACTAATCAGATAGGGTTGTGCCACCTTTGAAATGCAGTTTTTGTTTTAATTCTGTTTGCTTGGACCAAGCTGAGGTTGAAGGCAATGAAGGACGCCGATTGAAATGGTGTTACAGGGAGATCTTACCAGCGACATGTGAAGTGACATGTCCTGGTAAGTCAGAGGGCTAAATTGGATTGTGTGGTGTAAATGAATGACCTGTGTGTGTGAGAGAGAGAAATAATAAACCTTAAACTTACATTGTTCTTTTCTGGAAACTCCACCTAAAGAGCTTCTCAGGTAATGGGGACTCCCCTCCACCACCACCACCACCACCACCAATGTGTAGCCCCCACTTAGATGATGCAACAGCAGCCCAAGCACACGGTTCACTCAACACGAACGGCTATAAAGATGAATGACTTCAGATGTGGGCAGGCTGGAGGTGCCCGTCTGCAATTTGTCAGGTATGCATTGGGCCACCACAGCATGGCTGTACTTGAGTCCAACAAACTCCTGCTCGTGTCCTCAAATCGGAGAAGAGGAAGCATATGGAAAGTCAAGGTTGGACAGGGATAACCAATTGGATGTCCCTCTACCTAAAAAATAGATTTTACTTCTCTCTACTGGTCTCTATAGGAAGATCATTAATGAAGATTGGACGTTTTGTGTTCCGAATGCGTCGAAAGTCAATGATGATTTCCCTGGCTTTAGAAGTGTCTAGTAGGAGATTGTTGTCAAAGCACCAGGCTGTTTCCAAGTGAACCTGCTTTTGGTAACAAGTCTCATCGTTATTCAAGATGAGGCTGACAGTGCTAGTGGCATCTGCATATTTAGAAATCAGAAATTTAGAAACAGACTCATCCCGAGATGTAAGGTTGTTTGTGAAAAGGGGAAAAGAGCGATGGAAATAGGACACAGGCTGGGGGAGCACCAGTGCCGAGTTGGAGGGCAAGATGTCCTGTTATCCACCCAGACGACGGTCTGTTGACGATGCGTTAAAAAGTCCAAAATCCAACGACACACAGCAGGGCTGATGTAAAAGTCCGTCAGTTTACTGAGTAATTCATGTGGATTAATGCTATTGAATGCTGACCCAAAATCCCCCCAAAAAGGACATGAGCATAGGAATTTGGCTTCTCCAAATGCTGGAGTATACAATGGAGATCCAGGTTAACTGCGCTTCAACAGACCTGTAGGCCCTGTAGGCAAACTGGTGAGAATCCAGCAGAGATGTACAGCGCTCGAGGTGCTTAAGCACAAGATACTCAAAGGCTTTCATAGCCACTGAAGTCAGAGCAACTGGTCTGTAGTTGAGGCAGGACATTTGTGGAGATTTAGAAACAGGTATTAGAGTGGATATTTTAACTGTGAGGGACTTTCTGCTGAAGAAGTGAAGTATTATAAATGTTGGCAAACACAGGAGCCAGTTGATCAGCTGAGGGCTGCAGCTGGCATATTGTCTGGGCCTGTGGCTTTTCTTTTCTTTTTTGAAGATTGCTCTAACTTTGTCATTATGGATGAAGAATAATGATGAAGAATGGAGCTGGCAGAGGGGTAGACGACAGTGACGGTAATGAGGAGGCCTTCACATCAAGTTTTTCAGAACGAACATAAAACTGGTTCCATTTATCTGGAAGATTGGGGTCGTCATCCAGTAAGGTGGCAGAGATTGTTTCCTTATAGTTGGTCATTTCCTGAATTATCCTCCAAACTACACTTGAGTTGTCAGCAAATTGCTCCTCTAGTTGTTTACTGTAGTTGCTCTTGGCTTTCCTCACTGCAGAGCACAGTTCATACTTGGCTGAGATATATTCAGTCCGGTCACCCTTAATAAAAGTTTTATTCTTCCTAAGGCGGAGGTCTTGAAGTTCTTTTGAGACCCATGATTTCTTGTAACTGTCTGTCTTGAATGTTTTTGTAGGAATGCATACCTCTTCACAAAAACGTTTATAGGATGTAACTGAATCACTGTATTTATCCAAGGAGGCGCAAGCAGAGCTAAATACATTCCAATCTGTACATTCAAAACACCCTTTCAGGCTTTCTATAGCTTCTGGGGGATTAACTTTTAATTTGATATTTTTTCATTTTTGTTTATAAATCGGGATTAGCAGAATTATTGTGTGATCTGAATTTCCAAGCGGTGCTTTAAGATAGACACGGTAAGTGGGATCCAACGTGTAACAGCAGTGATCTAGTAATCAATCAGCTCTGGTAGGACAATTAACTTGCTGTCTGAAATGTGGCAGTTCCTGCATCAAGTTAAGAGTGGTTAAGGTCACCCAGCACTATAACCAGTCTGGATGGGACCTTTCCACAGTAGCAATATGTTGCACTAGTTCACATATGGCTCTGCTAGCTGGAGGAGAAATGTAAACGCCAGTTAACACGATTGACTCAAATTCTCTAGGTAAATAAAACAGTCTGCATTTAATGGAAATAAACTCGAGAACTGATGTACTACTGAAGAGCTGTTACACCAGGGCTGATTTATCATAAAACGAATGCCTCCATCCTTAGATTTACAGGATAAATTGACTGACCTGGTGGGGAAAACGTCCGAGTCTGGAACGGAGTTATCTAGCCATGTTTCAATCACACACAGCGCGGAACATTCACTGTAATTCCGATCAGTTCGTATGAGGAGCAAGAGCTCGTCAATTTTATTCCTTCGAGAGCGGACATTTGATTGTGGGTACGGACCGGGATAGCGCTCCAGCTCGCCGGCTACGTGTCCTGCGCTCCGATGTAGGCCCGGCAGCAAATGATGACTTAGTCCCTATGTGTTTTTTTTTTTTTAGTTCTCCAGGAAAGGAAAAAGTTTAATCTGTTACCTTTTAATTGTTCTCTGATGGATAACAATTCCATAGATCATATTTCAGAATGCATAAGGTCTTCCTGACGAATAAAAGACAAAAGAGCATAACCAAGAGACAAAGCATGTACCGAGGCCGCCATTTCTAGCACCATACTTTTTTCTACTTTTGGTGGCATGCTTAAGCTCCCTGACCTGATTGACCATTATCAATTTCAGGGCTTTTTACATCCTAGATGCACATTTTGGTGATGGTAATTTGAGAAATACGCTGGATATTAGTCAACAGGTTTATAACAGTGGTCAGAAGAAAGCTTTGTGCATCTTAGGAATTTCTGGACCTATATGTAAGAGATGTATAAAATTCCTCTTTATTGTGGAATCCAGCACCTGTCTAAGAGAATATGTGATTGAGTGCATGTGGCTGTTCGATGCTTTTTTTATGAGCCAAAATGGACCTGCCCCTTTGTTTAAACAGTGCTGAATAAGTAATACCTTGAAAGTATTGAATTTTAAGTGCAAGCAGCTTTTCATGCTTTATTAAGCCTTCTGGAAAAACTTCAAGAGTGTCCGACGTTCCACACTGATGTCTGAAACATTCCATGGTTGGTTTCAAACACACAGGTCTGTTTTTACAGGCTGCCCGCATATAACAGCTTTCTGCATTTCAGAAGGTAATATGAAATGGAATTTAGCAAAGGTGGGGGTTTAGAAGGGAGCAGGTCAACAAAACTCCTGTTCCCAAGGATAAAAAGGCATTATCTTAATCTCTTTCGGGCGGGCACGAGCTGGGAAGTGGGCGTAAATAAAGCATGTGTCACACCTACTGTGGGAGAGATTCGCAGAGATTTGGTCTTGATGCCAACAGGAAATTTCTCTTATCACAATAATATATGGAACTAAAAAGCACCTGGATGTTCGAATTCCAGTTCAGGAAATCCAACTTTCACTGAACGATAAGCAACAGGTGTGCAACTTTTCCATTAACTGACCTCCGTGGGTCTTATTGAAGCGCAACATGAGCAAAAAGAAAAACAATCTTATTTTTGCCAGCATGAATCCATTAAAAAAAATAGTGGGAACCCAATACTGCTTTGACTTGACCCAACAATGGTCTTGAAACTGTTGGTAGTTGTTTTCTTCTCATTTTACCCCTTCTCAACATAAGTTTGAAATGATTTCTGCCTGTTTTTATTATTACAATGCACAAAAGCACACAAGAACTACCTCTGGAAATACAGGGGATATTTACATGCACAGAAACTAAATAATTTGAATTTTCTCAAAGATGTGACCATACTACCGTTGGCATTAGTTTGTACTTGTTAATTGTCTTGAACTAAACCTGAACTTGAGCCCATGTATGGTACAACTCATGCTTGCTGCACAACAACTATGATCAAAGACAAACTGATCTCGGCCATTATGTGAGCATTTGAACAAAACATTTGTTTGTTGGCTAAATTTCAGAAATAAAAGCAAGGAATAAATTTATTACTTCAGAGCCTCCAGTTTTGCCGGGAAGCTGCCTCACACGCAATTCTGAGGAAAACATGTTTGTATTCAACACTATCATTTTTAGCCATACATCCTGAATGAAGCAGAAGTAAAAATAAAAACAACCTAATTTGTCTTTGTAATTAGCAAATACAAACCAAAGAGAGAACTTGGATCCAGTTGGAAATAATATTTATTTTTCCACCTCATTTTTAACAATCTACAATAATAATAGAACAGTAATTTACAATTTACAAAAAAAAAACTCCTAGCCGACCTTTCTTTGGTCCACAGTGCGGGCCTCTTCGCTCTGACCCGAGTTTCCTGGAGCACATGGTCATAAGGGTCATAGTTAAGATGGACCAGTAATGTGTAATCTATGTTTTTGTAAACTTGACCCATATCACAAATTTGCCTCCACCCTAACAGCCACCAAACACGTATGCTCTTTGTGTGCGAATGCCAGGTGTAGAGCACCCCGTCAGATGTCCTGCCAATTTGTATGTAAACAAGCTGTACTCCTGCACACCCTAAACCTGCCCCATTGCAGAGGCTGCAAGCGATGAACAGTTTGAGTAAGAGATCTTTTGCCATTTGCAAGCCGGGAGCCACCACAATAGAAATGACAAGCAGCAGCAGAAGCAATACTGTTTGTGAATCATTCAAAATAGAGACTCACTATGCATAAAGTCAGAGCACGACTTTCACATAATATTATTATATTGATCTTGACAATAAACCTATTTTAAATAGTGTACTATAAACTTATATAATGTTAGCATAGGAGCTTAAAACCCAAGTTAGCATTTGTTGTTTTTTTATTGGTTTGTTACAGATATCTGAAGAACGAAAATCATCTTGCATTTGACTGACAGGGTGGTAGTTAGTGGTGCTGTGCCACAGCTCGAGTCCAGAGTACCTTCTGTATGGAGTATGCATGGTCTCCTGTGGCCATGCCAGTTTTCCGTCTTCCTCCAAAACACGATGTCCAGGTGAACTGCATTCCCAGTTTTCCCCCTGTATGTCCCTGTGCCTTGCGGTAAACTGGCATCCTGCCGAGGGCACATACTTGCCTGGTTTCCTGGTGAGCTGGGGATTAAGGAAGAGGTGGTTATTCAAAATCTTTACAGTGGGAATCAGCCATAGCTCTGCAATGCATTTTCAAGCAAAGTTGGAGTAAGGAGCTGCAAAGGAACAGAACAATGATTTACCCCTCACACCTGAAGAAGGCTCCATGGCCGAAACGTTGCATTTTCTTTCTTCTTTTTTTCAGCATGGAATAAACCTATTACTTGTTCCTTTGCAACAATGATTTAGATTACTTTTAGGAGCTTATTCCTGTATTTTTAAATTTTTCAGATTTAAATATGCAACACCTCTCAATCCCACTCTCATTATAACACTTGTAGTAACTACCCCCCTACCCCAAAAAAACAAAACAAGACTCCTAAAGTCTTTTTTTCCTCCCTTTACCCCACAGTGATTTCATTTACCATTTATATTTCCAAACAAAGACATATGCTTACACCTTTGTTTTTCTATATTATACAATTGTTCTCTTACACTCCACCATACCAACGACTACCATGCCATGAGCTGTACTGTAGAGCTCTACAGCTGTTCTGTACTGTTCTGATTTGAAAATCAAGGTAGTGAGAACATGCATTTTAGAGAATCTTTCAGTAGTCTTGGGGAAGAAGTGAAATGACTTGTAAGCATTAAAAGCAAAATGTCTGTTTGAGACCAGCCAAGCACTTCGGAACCTGAAAAACCTTTACTGCTCAGTCCCAGAGCTGCCATTTTCTAATCTCTTTACCCAGTTCAGCATGTGGAGGAGCCTATCCCAGCAAGCAAGGCTGCAAAGCAGGATACGCACTGGATGGGACACCAGACACAAACACAGTTGCGCCTAGATCCAATTTTCCCAGAGGTCCATTAACCTACAAGTATGTTTCTGGATTATGGGCGGAAACCATAGGAAGGCAGTTTCGACAGTCCAGTATTTCCTCCACCTGGTGTCCTCATTGACAAACAGAAACCTATAGAACTAAAGGGTGTAGCGGCGAGGCTTAATAATAAGGCAGAATTAAGTGTTTCTGAGCTTTCCCAAATTAGGCCTCATTTCTCTGTTCATCTCTGTGGTGCAGCCACAGAGAAACCATTCATGCAAGGTGATTTAAGGTCCAAGGACAGCTCCCAAAGGGGGATGCACTTAGCTAAGCCTGGCTATCATGATCAATGCTCATCCATTGGTGCCTATCTGTCTAGGGAGTGTGAGTTGGACATCTGGATTGCATTCCTAAGTGTCAGGACTAAGTGACTCATATCTCACCTTGATCAACCAATCAGGGAC